AGTAAATAGATCTTGCAACGAAAAGAGAAAGTATTAAGACATGGCAATGCCCCTAGTTATTTAGACTAAAACCTTACCAGACTAGGCTCACAACGGTACAAAGTAACGCGAGACTCAACTACCTCCTACAACCGTAATGCTCGACCTCCACAACTTCCTATCAAGTGTCATGTCCTCGGAAATCTGAAGTTTCGCCATATCCTGCCTGATCACTTCTCCCCAATACTTCTTAGGCCGCCCTCTACCTCTTCTTGTGCCCTCCATAACCAGCCGCTCGCACCTCCTTACTGGAGCATCTGGGCTTCTCCTCATTACATGCCCGAACCATCTGAGCGGCGCTTCCCGCATCTTGTCATCAATGGGAGCCACGTGCACCTTCTCCCGAATATTATCATTTCTAATCTTGTCCATCCTAGTGTGCCCGCACATCTACCTCAACATCCTCATTTCTGCTACTTTCATCTTTTGGATATGTGAGTTCTTAACATGCCAACACTTAGCCCCATACATCATAGCCGGTCTAACCACCGCTTTATAGAACTTGCCTTTGAGTATCGTCGGCACTCTCTTATCACACAAAACTCCGGATGCTAACCTCCACTTCATCCATCCTACCCCGATACGGTGTGCGACATCTTCATCGATCTCCCCTCCCCCGTGGATAACTGACCCAAGGTACTTGAAGCTGTCTCTACTTGGGATAACCTGTGATTCAAGCCTCACATCCACGCCCACTTCCCCAGGCTCAGTGCTGAAAATACACTCCAAGTATTGTCTTCGTTCTGCTCAGCTTGAAACCTTTAGACTCAAGAGTCTGTCTCCAAACTTCCAGTCTCTCGTTAACACCGATTCGTGACTCGTCGATCTGAACTATGTCATCAGCAAATAGCATGCACCATGGCACCTCCCCTTGGATATGGTTTGTTAACACATCCATCACCAGGGCGAATAAGAACGGACTGAGCGCAGAGCCTTGGTGTAACCCCATTTCAACCGGGAAATGCTCAGTCACCTCCTACCGTCCTAACCCGAGTCTTAGCCCTATCATACATGTCCCTAATCGCCATAATATAGGGAACCGACACGCCTTTTGCCTCCAAGCATCTCCAGAGAACTTCTCTAGGAACCTTGTCATACGCTTTTTTTCAGCAAAAATAATAATAATAATAATGAAGAAAATGTTGTGTTCGATCTTTCTTGTGTTAGTTAGGTGCTGGTGTAATTGAACAATTTTAGATGAAAGATTAGTGGCTACACTTCTAATTTCTGAGTTGAAGAATGATGATTTTGTCTGGAAAAAAAAACATGAAACGTGAATAACAAATGTTTTGTGCTTTTGGTGCAGATACAACTTTCATTTGTTCCCTCGTGATGAGTTAAAAATAGGGATGCCTTCTTATAGTTTCTCTTGTCAATCATCATATTTGACCTCTATGGCTCGAGAAGGTTTTGATTTCAATGCCTGCATATATGATGGTAAGCTGAGCTAGACTGGTTTGAAATGTAATGCATCACTGACATGTTTTCGTTAAGTATTCATTTTGACTTTTAATCTTCACTGCTTTCATTGTACTTTTTTTTTATTATAATAGATGTTACTGTTTTCTCCTGCATACCTTTTGCTGCCCCAGAGTAGCTTTTGACTGAAAGCTTGAATTAACCTTCCTATCCCCCACCTTTCTTGACCTGACAGGCATATCATATTTATCCAGATCGCAAGAATCAGCTGCAATAGATAGAATTGGAAATGCATCACATATTACCCGTACAGTGCAATCTCCATCAGGGCATACAGTTGCTGATTCCGTATTTGCAGAAAGGATCAAATCTCGAGTTAAGCATTGGATAAGTTCTTGCAGAGACACCAACAAGAAGCCTGAAGGTGTGCAAAATGGTATAGATTATGTTTGTCAATCCAACTCTTCTCTGCTCTCTCATTTATACTCTTGACATCTTCCAGATGCTTTAATCAGTTCCTTGAGAAAAATTGTCTCGGGTGATGAAGTATATGGATCCAGACCATGCTTGAGCATAGATGTATGCAGTGAACGTCAAGTGCACCTTGTGTTGGAGGTTTCTATCTTGTCTCTTTTACCTTTTGAGTTATTCTCTTGAATTTTTTAGCCCCCCCCCTACCCCCCCCCCCCCTCCAAAAAAAAAACTAGAGATGCTGTCTATGTTAGGTTACAATAATCCAAATTCGATTATGTCTGAACACTGATGTTTTAAGATTTCAATTGTTGTCAATCTTGAAGGTCCTGCATATTCCATTATATTGAATGAAAAATCACTTGATAGTTTAAACTGATTCGTTGAACTTTTATATTGGGTCAGACACTGAAGGATTTTGTTGATGTCATACCTTTACTAAACCCAGCAAAGGGAGGGACGACAATGTCTGTTCGAGTTGTTTTGACAAGTTCAGAAGAAGACAAAATTCTTTTACAGGTAATTAACTAGCTTACGGTCTTTGTTTGTAATGCTTGTCAATGACTCATTTCCTCCTCTGGATATTGCTTTATACTCGCAGAAGGAACTTCAAAATGAGGAGAAGGAGCATAATAAGCGCATTCGTGGCTTTCGAGAGGTGATCGATTTGATTTCCGCTTCTCAGAAACCCGTTGTTGCCCACAACTCTCTTAATGGTCAATCTCTAAGTGGAAAATTTTGCTCATGTTAGAATTTGTGGCTCCCATACCTTTGTGATATTTATACATGTTGCATTTTATTCGGCAGATTTTACCTTTGTCCATTCCAAGTTCTTAGCTCCATTGCCATCAACGCTGGATGAATTCAAAAGTTCATTATGTGAGGTCTTCCCAAATGTACTTGATGTCAACCATCTTATGAAGGAAATCAGCCTTCTGAAAAAAGTGAACAATTTGCCTGCAAGTATCTCATATTTGAAACAAAGATTTTTTGCCCCTGTTGATATGGAGATATCTAACCAAGGCAAGTACCCCCAACATCATGAGTCGCGTGTTAGAGCAATCATATTTCCACCTTTCTTTATAACAGGGAGATCGGTTTAATGGCCCATTACAAGTGTTATATAGCCCTTTTCGCGGGAGATCGATAGAAATTAACACAGGAGATTAGTAAATAAAATATATGTAGGATCATTTTTCTTCTATTCAAATTGGAACCGTTTATAGGAGATCATTTCCTCCTTTATAACGTGGTTATACTAATAAACACTTGCAGCATGTAGCCAGCGGGAAATGGCAATATTCCTGTGAAGGAAGTTTTCCTTCTTGCTAATTTATTACAACATTTTTATATTAAAAACCTACCTATTCTAGATTCTCTCTCATCTCCCTCCCACCCCTTCCCCAAAATTTCTCTTTTAGTTATGTTACTAATTGGACTCGAGTATTTCTGCCTTTGCATATAAAATTGCCATTGGTTTCTTTTTCAACTGTTTAGATCAATTCTAATCAGTGTTAAATTACTTACAGCAGCTGAGGCCACAGAAGTGAAGACTCTGGGACATGATGTTTTGAAGATAAGCGAATTGTTTGCGAAGCTGTACTCCATACTGAAAATTGCTCCAAAAGCTCCTGAAGCTGCTGAGGGCCATTTGCCTGATGCAATTGAATGCTACATAAACTTGTTCAACCCTTGCTTTGCCAGTTCTCATGGTCTTGCTGATGAAGGTGTTAGTGTGTGGACTGACAATACTAGAAAAATTAGTATTAAGAATCTAGTTTTCCTATGGGGATTCAGGGGTGGGACATCTGCAGGACAGCTGAAAAGCCTCCTATATGGTTCACATGAAGTTTTCCATAATGAATTTGATGTTAGGCTAGTGGATAAAAGTTGTGCTGTAGTTGTTTTTGGGAACCCTGGCTTTTCGGAAGTCCTGTTGCAGCTAATGGATTCTGGAGGTATCTGTACTAGTACCCTGACGGAGATGCTGGCAGACGGCCTGACAGCCGCAGGTTATGAGGTGTACCAAAAAGTCTGTGAGTTAGGTCTATGGGAAGCAGATTTGGCCAGTTCATTCGAAAGGGCTTTGGAAGAAAATGATAGCTTCTCAGAAGCTCACTCACAGGAGCTCCCGGGGATATGTTGGAATAATGATGAAATGATTAACCTGGATGACCTTTAAGACGCTCCATAGATCTGATTCATATCTAACATTACAAGAGCCAAGAGAGGCTGCTTTCTGGTCAGTGGCGAGTTGATATACTATGATCCTATAGATTTTATTGGTGGCCCTTTTTGTTGCCATTGGAGATGTATGCAGGAATCAAATTCATAATTGATGCATCAAATGGAGAGAGTAGCTGCTGACATGGAACATTCAGCCATTGCATTTACTTCTTTCAAGCTGACAAAGCAGGGTGGTCATGTATTTTTTTGGACGATGAGATGTGAGGATAGCTGAATGTTGGAGGATAATCCAGTAGAGTGGCATTATTTGGTGTAGCAAAGAGTCTGTTTATTGGGTCGTTGTTTTCCTTTCCCACTTGAAGTTCTTCTTGCCAAGTTTCTAATCGGGTGGTGTATGTTTGAAGTTGTAGAGTTTGCAAACATTGAGTTTTTGCATGTGAAGCGAAAGTGTAATGAGATTACTTACATAATGTCTTTTTTTCAGTTGATGGCTAAGCAATTCATTCTGTTACGGCCACTATTTTTGAGCATTAGACCATTGTTCAACATTTGTTAAATATAAAACTATGCTGATTTTGATACTTTTTATCCTTTGTCTTCTGTGCTTTAATGTTCAGTTATACTTCCAGGGATGCCTATGCTACTTTTTACGCATGAAAAGACAGGTGGGATTTTTAGTTTCAGTCCTCAAATATCAAACTAATCAAAAAGATGTTCTCTAAATATGGAATGCGCATTCTATAGATAAAATTGAAAGTCTCTTTGGCACCCATTAAATGTTTCTTAGCACACATTGATCCTTCAGCATTTATCACTTCAAATAAGTACCCAAGCAATAAGAAGATATTAGTTGTGGCATTCTTCCATTTCGCATACATAATAATGCTATAGTTTTTCTTGAAACTCTTCAAAAGATATACACCTCTCTTTTTCTAGTTTCCAAACTTAGTGAAGCACTGAAGCCCCCATACCCAGTAGCCCAACCTCAAAGTTTCAATTTAAGTGCACTGTACCCCTCTCTTATCCTGACATGTAATTTCACCACTGAAAATTGCAAAGAAGGATTATGTTCCAATTTTAAGACCCCATTACTTAATGGCACGTTTTACAATATTTTATTGCAAGTTGAAATCCAGAACAAGAAATGGCAACTTGTGGGAAGCAGATCTCACAGCAAACAACTAGCTTTGCGGCACTTGCTCTTCTTAGCTAAAGCTAAACTGGTAAACCTTTGCACGCTGACACGAGAAGCAAACTCCACACTTCTGCAGCAGAAAATTGAAAAAAAATGGCAGCAATGGCCTTGAAAATTACAATAAGCTCTAATCCCAATACCAACGGCGTACTTGCACCTCCTCCGAACAAGCTACATGCTCATCTTTTACCCTCAAATCAAAAGAGTTTTGGCCGCAGACTCCTTGGGAGTATACCTCTATCATTGAAACGAAGTAAAAGGAATTGGCATGCGCCACTTCGAGTATCGAGTAGTCAGGCTTCTGCGTCTAACTCCTTTGATGTTGTCATAATTGGTGCCGGAATCATTGGGTTGACCATCGCCCGCCACTTGCTCCTTTCCTCTGACCTCTCCGTCGCCCTAGTTGATGCTGCTGTTCCTTGCTCGGGCGCAACTGGAGCAGGTAAAAATTTATCGATACTTTGACGACCAGACCCCAAATTATTGGATATTGGCATGAAATGAGCCCAAATAGAGCGAAATGGATAGTGAGGATTTTTATATGCCGACCCAACTAGCTTGGAATGGAGTAGTAGTAGTTATTGTTGTTGTATAGTTGACCCCAACTAGTTTGGAATCAAGATTTAGTTGTTGTTATGGTTGTATTATATTCTTATCGGAGGCGGACTCAAGATTTGAACTTTACGAGTTCGAGTTCAAAATCCTATCGTAGTTCATTTAATTTACTGGGTTCCAAATCTATCATTTGTACTAACATAGTGGATTTTTAACACATACATGATCTGAGCTAAAGTTTATGGGTTTGGATGAACCCATATCTATTCACCCCCAATTCTTATGCACGCCGTCTTGGCTAAATGCTGTATATATCTTTTAATTGCATATGCCTCTAATCACAAAACTGATATGATCTAATATGCACAATGTACAGTTTTCCACAAAGGGTAACAGTCTCAGTGGATGAATCAAGTTTAAAGTCTCTGGCTCTTTTAATCCACATGCATAATACAACGAGAATTAACTTAGTATGCTGTCAATCTCGAGTTTATTCAAATTCACGAGCTATGCCAGTGTATTGATTGTAGTTAGATTACCCACAAATATCAACTGAATAAGTATAGCAATGGTAAGCCTTTACACCTCCTACATTAGAAGAAGTTAATTTGTTTTTTTATACTTCCTCCGTTCCAATTTATGTGAACCTGTTTGATTGGGCAAGTAGTTTAAGAAAAAATGAAGATTTTTCGAATTTGTGGTCCTAAACAAGTCAAAAAGGGGCACGGAGTATTTGTGTGGTTATAAAAGCTTCTCATTAAGGGTAGAATTGGAAGTTTAAGCTAAATTGTTTCCAAATTTAGAAAGGAGTCGTTCTTTTTGGAATGGACCAAAAAGGAAATAGGTTCACATAAATTGGAATGGAGGGAGTAATAACTATTTGAAGTGTTAAACTTTTAGCGTTTCAAATTTCGTTATAAACTTTTCTAAGGTAGTTGAACAAGTTATAAGCTCTTATTCTCTCACCCTAGAAATTTGGAGAACATCATCTGCTGGCATGTCATTTTAAGGAGGAACTTTTTTTTGAAAAAGAAGAAGGAACTTATCGAATGAAATTCTATTCCTATTGTTTGCCGTGTCTTGACTGATTGATTGTGGATTTTTCTTTACATTATCGTTGGCATTTGAGCTGGTTCTAGGTCAAGGATACATATGGAAGGCACACAAATCACCAGGTACTGTTAAATGGGAATTAATGATGAGAAGCCATCAATTATGGGAGAGCCTAGCCAAGAGCATTCAACTTCAAGGCATGGATCCTTTAGAGGTACTTGGCTGGAAGAAGACAGGTGACTTTATATCCTTCCATGTATTTGCCTTCAGTTATTCTACTTGCCACTGTTTAGTCAACAGAGTTGTCAACGGGGAAAAGCTCTAAAAGGTGCTTCATGTCTATTGGGGCTTTAAGCGCAAAACGCAACTAAAGTGTGGGCTTTTAATAAAAATGGCACATTGAACTGAAAAAATAAAAAGATATATTTAATTCGGGAAAAAAGTAACAAGCTAGCTTATGAGGTGAGGATTGCCCAAGACCATATAAGGAGACCAAAGACCTCAAATCCCACCGATATGGGACAACTCAACACCCCCTCATGCCCAGGCCTGCAAACTGGAGCGTGGACAACATAAATGGGGGCCCAACATCAGTAACAATAATGGGATGGGCCTGGCTCTGATACCATGATAAATGGACCTTGGACCTAACTCAACCCCTAAAGCTAGCTTATGAGGTGAGGATTGCCCGAGACCATATAAGGAGACCAAAGACCTCAAATCCCACCGATGTGGGACAACTCAACACCTATTGATGAAAGACAGAACTCATAGGCAACGAGGTGCACGCCTTAGTGCCTTGCCTTATAATGAAGTGCAACTTAAGCAAGGTGAAACGGCCTCCTTGAGCTTTTCTCAGCTTCAGGGCTTAAGCGCGCCTTAAATGAGCCTTTGACAACACAGATCAACTTACATCAACTCTGTGTACTGTTTAAGACTTTAGCAATGAATCTGGAAGTTTATCATGTTATATGTCTTGTTATTCTGACCAATGTGTTTCTGAGCTCTACTTAAGCAGCCCAAGGGGTTAGAATATGATGGAAGAATCGTGAAATATTACATCATTTTCCTGTCTTTTAGAGGACATTTTCAGTACTGAGGAGGTCTGTTCCTCCTTAATGGTACACATGCTCAATTGTAATTCTTTTTCCTTTTTCTAGAAAGCTCATTTACAAATGACAAAAGGTGGTATATTATAGGACATCAGTCTGGAAGATTTTTCAGGTCCGAGACAATTCTGGTAAATGCAAAAGTTAAAGTCACTTCATATTGTCTAGTCCTTCTCTGTTTAATAGACTTTCTGCAATGGAGAGCCCAACATTCTTTCAGTCTGGTCAAAATTGCTAGATTGGCCCTCATTCTTTGCAACTCTGCACCTCGTAGCTAACTTTTGGGGTTGAGTTAGCCCAAGGTCCATTTCCTTAACATGATATCACAGTCACACCCATTTTGTTCTTGGTTTACCCAATATTAGACCCCCATGTGATGTCATTCATGCTCCAATTGGCAGGCTTGGTGTGCAAGGGGGGAGGGTGTTCGATTGTCCCGTATTGGTTGAGGGAACAGGTTGTTGTCTACTTGTATGGTCTTGGGCAATCCTCATGACTCGAGTTGAGTTAGGCCTAAGGACCATTTTCTTAACAAAAATAATGTGGATTTTCTTTATACTGTTCATTTGAAGGCATGCCAACCCCTACTTGTTTGGGACTGAGGCGTAGTTGTTGTTGTTCATTTGAAGGCATCTTTCAGCTTCTTTTTTTTCTCCAGTATACTCCCTTTTTTGTAAACACAATTTAGAAAGCAATTCTAGTTGATATCTCATGTAAATGGATGGTATGGAGTTTGCTCTTCTCCTGCCCTTCCCTTGTACCTATCTCATGTGCACAGGCTAAAGAAAACCTTTCTTCTGCAATAACCGTTACTATCTCAGTCCTATCATATTAAAGATTGTAGGGGAAACCACTGAGTGAAGTTCTTATTATCTGGCAGGAAGTCTTTTAGTTAGTAAAACAGCAGATGAGTCAGCAATGTTAAGAATGAGGGTAGAGGAGCTATCACAGGAGGGGCTGAGAGCAGAGTTCTTGTCCACCAATGACTTGCTATCAGAAGAACCAGAGCTTGTGCTTGAGAAGGAAGGTGGAGCAGCTTTTTTCCCTGATGACTGCCAATTGGATGCTCACCGTACTGTTGCATTTATTGAGAAGGTCTGTTCCCTTGCCTTCTTTCTCTCATTCTTCCTTCTCTTCCTCTTTGGTTCCTTCTTTAGGAATAATCTTTAGTGTTCTTCTCTCCGGGTTATCTTACAATACTTATATATGATAATTATTTAAGTCGTTGATCATTGTCCAGGGTAACAGGCGTTTTGCTGTTGAAGGGAGATATGCTGAATTTTATCATGACCCAGCTATTGGATTAGTTAGGTTTGACAGTTTCCATCTTTATTGATGTTTGAACTATTACTTGTCCATGTAATCACTATATTAATAAATTTTAAATTCAGGCCTGGAAATAGCTGCGAGGTTGGAGCTGTTCAAACTTCCAAGACTACATTGCATAGTAAGAAGGCTGTTGTAATTGCAACAGGTTGTTGGACTGGGTCTTTGATGCATGACCTGATTAAGCAACCAGATATCGAGCTCGATCTTCCAATAAAGCCTCGAAAGGTTTAGGATAAGATGTAACATGCCCATTGCGTTGTTTTCTTTGTCCCATTTGTTTTTTTGTCTTATTATCTTTCTCTTTTTTTTTTTTTTTGGTTGTGTGTGTTTGTCATGTTATTAAAGAAAGAATAAAGGAGTAAAAGAAAAAGAGATTTAATTTGGTTTAAGAGAAACCATTATTTGCTGATTTTTTGTGGATGCACAATTTTTAGTCATCTATCTCATTGCTACAACCAAATGGCACCATAAGAGGGGATGCATGGAAGTGACGACACTCATTCACATGCCGCTCATATACCAGCTCGGACCAGACCATTACCAGCTCAGACCAGACCATTACTGATATCTCTTATTTCTCTCTCGTGGCTCCATTTGCCATTGTTTACATCATTGTCACTATATTATAAACTTCATTTTCTTCTCCTTGGGTGTGGGGGGAGGGGGGGGGGTGGGGGGGTGTTCAATTGGGAGAGTCATATCTGATTCATGGTTCATCACATGCATATGCTAGTTTATAAGCCACCATTTCTTACCCTTCCCCTCTCTGTTAGTTCAGAGCATTTCTTTAAGTTCAGCTGATTCCTTGTTTTGCCTTAATAAGTTTTCAGATCCTGCATAGTAAGCAACATAAATCCATACAATACTTTAAAGTAAACATGTGATGTTTTGTGGATATGTAACTCGATGCTCACCTGATAATAATACGAACTATACTTCCGTGTTGACTTTTGTTTGATCCCCTGCCTCCCCCCTCGAGTTGACCGCTTTATTGTTAATTCATATTTCCATTACTTCTATTGAGGGATTGCTAGATAACCCAAGTTACAAGCTTATTCGGAAAAAAGAGAGCATAAAACAAGAAAGAAGAGAAATGATATCAAAAGTTGCTCCATGACTTCTTATATCAGCATAAGGCATCTGTATTGGTCCACTTCCTTTATCCCTTTAACTGGTTATTAACTTTAAATAAGATATCGTTTTACAAGCTCAAGCTACAAACTCTCAGAAGTTAGAAGAATTCGAATCTCATAATGGGATGTCTGTGCTTCATTCTAAACGGCCTTAAACGAATCCAAGATTGTCAATGAGTGTCCTTACAGTACTGTCTATAGTTCCCAAAACTATCCAGCTCAAATAGGGAGATCAGTAAGTGAATATCAATATAAAAAAAGGTGAAGACAGTGGACACAAAGAGAAGTATGTAATACGTAATGGCAATTCCATTACACATTCTATATATGGATCTACCTCCTTTTGTTTTGGATCAGTAGGATCTTCCTCCTAGTCATAAGTTTTTCTCATGAGACCTTGTTCGTACTTGTCAATAGATTCAACCTTTAAATATTTTATATTCATATATTTGCAAAGCTAAATTTTGCCTCTGTAAGCAGGGTCACCTGCTTGTGATAGAGAATTTCAAGTCGTTCAAGCTGAATCATGGAATTATGGAGGCAGGGTATGTCAACCATCAGTCAGCAACTCTCAAAGCTACTGCGTCTGATTCAGGGCCTGTCTATAATGCACAAGATCTGTCTGTTTCAATGACAGCAACCATGGATGCATCAGGCAGTCTTGTCCTTGGTAAACTATATCCCATTGTTGAATTGTTTGTCCCTCCTTTCTTTCACCCACAAGCCACATCAATATGTCTTAACACAAATTAAGCTAGATATGGATAGCTCCAAGCTCCATTGCACCCCCCTTCTTCCATTTATAATGCAAAGGATTTAATTACTTCTTGTTTCTAGTTTTTCTCTCTCTAAGGGGTCGTGTGGTTGGGAAACAAGTTATCCAGGATTAATTATCCCGGGATTATTATCCCACCCTCCCATAGGAATAAAACTAACACTACAATCCCGGAATAACTAATCTCGGGATTATTATACCGCGATTTTATCCCAATCAAACGTGGGATAAACTCATCTCAAATTTAATCGCAGGATTAATTATCCCTTATCCCTCGTACCAAATGAGCCCTAAGTTCATTAGTTATTCACCGCAGTTAAAGTTTTTCTTTAAATTAGTAATTAAGCTTATTTCCCTAACAATAAAAGACTGTTGATAGCCAGATCGATGCACTATCTTTTCGGAAGCTGTTCAGCATGCAGGAAAGAATGTCTACCTACTGCAGAACCTTATGTAGAAGTCTCTTGTTTAAATTGCCTCATCTAAATTTTTAAAATTTAAACTATTAAATAGGGGACACTATCTTTTTTTTGGGCCAAGCATGTGGAAATATGCTATTACAGAATACTGAGAATTGAAATTAAGATCAGTTAAATTGTATAAAACTGTATTATCTAAAAGCTTAAGTTGCTAAAGAGGTGACACTTTTAGTTATTTATATAGGTCTACCACATGTTATGTAACATAGAGCTTTGCCTAATTTCTGATGTACTTCTTTGAAAGTATGGACACTCCAGCTAGGATATATCATTTGTTTTATGTCTTTTCTAACTTTGCTATTCACGATATCTAGAGCCGTTTGGACAACTTCTGGAAAAAGTTGTTCCAAAACATATTTTGGTGAAAAAGTTTGTGCAAAAAAAATGTGTTTGAATTGTCGTAGTTCTTTGAAGATTTGTGGTCTTTGTTGAGTGGAAGAAAGAGCTTTTAAATTGAAAAACACCCTTAAAGCTTCTCCCAATTGAAAAAGCTTTTCTGTAATAACTTCTCGCAAAATCTCCTTTTAAAAGTTAACAAATATATTTTTCAGAAACGATCAACGTCTCATGCTGTGTAACTATGATAGCTGGAGGCACTTGTCCCATCGTTATGGTATCTGGTAGTCCAATTATACTGAATAAAATCATAATGGAAGAAGGAAATTTCCATTTTATGCTATCTTTTATGTCATCTTATTATCTTTCTGTCCATCTTTTTTGTCTTATAATCCGAACCCTTTAAGGTAAATGTGGTTTCTATAAATGTGCACTCATGGCTATTCACCAAGATCTTTTCTTACAGGGAGTAGCCGACAGCTTGTTGGGTTTAACACAGAGGTTGATGAATCTGTCATCAATCACATATGGCAGCGGGTTGGGGAGTTCTTACCTGCTTTAAGAAAAGAGTCGCTTGAGGATTTGCGTCAAAGCGGAGAAATTAGAGTAGGATTGAGACCTTACAGTAAGTGAAAACCAGAAACTTTTGACTTTTTACTGTTCATGACTGAACTACTAAAATAATGCTGAAGCTGCAAGCATGCTCATGGGCTTGGCTTTATTTTGATTTAGTTCCGGACGGAAAGCCTGTCATTGGGCTTGTTCCTGGATTTTCGAATGTATTTCTTGCTGCCGGGCATGAAGGAGAAGGACTGTCGCTGGTACTTTTCTCTAATCTCTTTCTGCAGATGAACTGAAAGACATTTTTGATTAAAAACATACTAGTTTTCATTATAACATGTGTCCGCTTTTCTTACTGTCTTTTCGAGTTCTTATATGCTTCTAATTTTAACTGTAATAATCATAGTCAATGCTTCTTCTTACCAGGCTCTAGGAACAGCTGAAATGATTGCTGATATGGTATTGACCAATCCTTGTAAAGTTGATCCAGCACCTTTTGCGCTGCTAGGCCGGTGCTTCCGCTGAGCAGTGAGCCCAATGCAAGGATTGAACACTTATGAAGCCTAAATTTAAAAGCTTAACAGTCTCAAGGTCATATCACATCCTTATGTTACTGCTACATGATGTTGCATTTTGATTATAGCTTTTTGTCTATCATTTCTGTGCAATAACTGAATAGTGAGAAATTACTACAGTTTTTACTGGATGTGGATTTCTTAAAAGATAAATGTAGCAAGGATAAGTTGATGAGTTGTCTTTGGGATGCAGTTTTTAGGTTTTGAATGAACTGATGATGTAGCTTCTATTGATAGAGACATGCTGGAACCATCTTCCCAGCTCTCCAATCCTGTGGCTCTTATGCAAAATGAAAAAGCAAAATGCTTTTGATGTGATTCATCTCCTTATCGATTTAGTGCTTGCAATGCTTCATCTCGAACTCTATCTGTTATAGCTCATGCATTGTGCATTTAGGGCCATTTGTTCCAGCTAGGAGTATTGGGGTTTTTTTCTTTTTTCTTTTTATTTTTTTTTTTTTTTAGGGGGGGGGGGGGGGGTGCTACAGTTGGGCAGTTTTGTTGGCCCAGATTAACCCAAGCTATTAGATGGGTTAATATGGGCACAAGGCCCGCTCAACCACCCATCAATGAATATGTTTTTAGCCCAACCGCTCAGTCCGGGGGTTGAGCAGGTTACACTTTTTTGGGATAATTTTGTCCCTAGTTTTAGCTAAAGTTCCTGTAACTCTATTCTGTATAAAGGAAATAGTAAAATGTTCTTCACGTGGTTGTGCTTCTTATAGATAAAACGCTCTTAATGTCGTAATTTGAGTTATGATATGTTTTAGCTCTCCCGCTGTTTATTTGGAGTTGATTTTTCTTTTTCTCTGTTATTTGTCCAAACGTGTGTGAGCTTTAAGCCTTAGATACATAGTTAAGGCTCTTCCATCGGTCCTTTTTTTTTAAAAAGTATTTTACACTCACTGATACAAGAGACTTGATGAGACACACTTCGACAGATATTTTATAATACTGATTACATGGATATGCTATTAGGTATCCCTATTGCTGTGATACCCTGACCTGATTTAATATTGGAGACTGTAGGGTCCAGAAGCTTGTACGGGATATTGGACGGCCCCCGTCTGTTCTTAAGTTTGGAATCTGCATTTCTCTCCACTATCCTTTTATGCACTTCATTAAGTTCCTCGGCAAATTGCTCAAACCTTTGCTTTACCCATACGTCATCTATCCAGTTTGGAGATTGTCGTTGACCCAAGTATACTTCATCAGATGTATGCGCTGACAGTACCTCTAATAGCGCCAAATATAGGGTAATCTCAGACCTGTTGGGTAACATTTTGAGAAAGAACTTGTCTGGGTCATGGAGAAACTCTGCGTACTCTCTTGTCCCTTCCATCGCGATGAAATTCCGACATTTGGTTGGGCGATTTAGTGGATGACCCGCATATTCATATTGTCCAAAGTTAACTGAAGCATGAAGACCTGAGGAAATCCATATAAGGGTTGTGAGAGCCTCTACTAGGTCAGAGACGGTAGTCATTGAGCTCCACCATGTTTCGTTACACTTGTCTCCATGACCAAGTTTCCTAATCTCTGACCACCATTCTTGGATCTCATGGTCAGATCTCAGGGAATTATCATCCTTGTAGAAATATTGACAAAAGTCTGTTACCCATCTCTTGGTTGCTACCCAGATTTCTAGTCCATCTGCACCATATGGATAATCTTCAAAGAGAAGCTGAATGCCAGCCAGGCATTCTGGGTTCTGGAAAGCCAAGCCTCTGCAAGTTTCGATTAATGTATTAGTTTGTGGTATTAGTAGTTTTAGCTATAATGTACATCAGCAGATTTAGGGGTGATGGAGGAAAATGTTTTCAGATATTTACTTTATCCAAAATAAATGGTGGAAAATGTCTAAATGTTCTACTTCAGGAAATCATTCTGGGATCATTTTCCATGTTTGTTCTAATATAAAATTAGGTGAAATATGGTAGTAAAATACAAGGTGGAAGATAGCGTATGAAAATTTAGTAATAATGTCTAATTGTTGGTCTCAAGATATGGAGCAAGAATTGGGATATCTCTAAAAGTTGATAGACTTCAATAAGAGTTTGGATATCATTGACAACAATGGTTTTCACCAATAAGTGAAGAAAGTAGTTTTCTTTCATTTGATGGAAAATATTTTTCTTGGAGAAAGCATTTTCAACAATTCAAGATAACCGAACATTGAAAATAATTTCAACAAGAAAACATTTTCCGCAGACCAAACACTCGTTAGGTCACCAAGTTCATATATCCCGTTAGCATACCTTTTCACCAAATCACCAGGGAGGCTTTGTTCATCAAATCTCCATTCCTTATAGAGTGAAGAAGATAGCTCCATAGATGCTTCTCCAGAATAAAGGGTCTTCTCGAAGATTCCTCCAGCTTTTAAGACTGTAATCCGAGCCAATGCATTAGTATGCATAGTGTCCTTGAAATGAGGATCCAATAACCGGTGAATCGGGTGCATAACACTCAACTGCCTTCTGGTGGCAATAATGAATGGCTCTACAACTGCATGAGTTTTTAGCCTACAATTTCATAATGCCCATGAGTAATGTGGAAATTCAATGACATTGCAACTGCTACATGATTTTAGTAATTTTACCAGTGGCTGATTAGCTGATGATAACCAGAGTCGTTTACTGCCACATGAACTTTAGCAAGCTGCCATAAGGCTGCCTCTGATCCATTGGTCCCTGGACGAAATACCCTGTGGATCTCAGTGCCAGGTGAAAGCCCTGGTAAACTTAGTTCTATTGCCAGTGGCTTTAGCGTGGCATCGTCCTTTAAGAATAGCAGAGTTCTGGATGCATATGCACATACACCATTTTTGTTTATTTTTCCCAAAAATGGCATGAGGTAGTCATGGTGGTCCAAGATGAAAATCCTCCATTGGTTCATTGCCTGCAGCATTGAACCGAACTTATTAGGAATTTTGAATGTTTGTTCAAGCTCTTTCCAACTAAGCATTCATGATTATTGCCTTTTCGTGCATTGCAGTCTTTGGATGTTTCATGGGTATACTCTATGCTAAAGTATAAATGACAATGTAATTGGTCTAAAGTACGTACCTCTTGAAGAGTGAGCCCATCAAGGTTATGTTCTATGTGTGATCTTCTTATTGAACTCCATATTCCATTCTTGCTTCTTGGTGGAAAAGCCTGTGATGTCAAAACCATAGCATCAAACAAGATATGAAACTTAGAACACGCTGTTACTGTACAAGCTTGCATATAAGATGCGTTAGAACGTCAATTGCTGGTGTTTTAGAATCTTGAGTTAGTAGCGTTGGCTGTTAGTGCTAAGTTGGTCTCTCCTAGGTCAAGTTATTTATTTATTCTCTTACTTTCTCTTATATTTCTTAGGAAAATGGGTCTTTGCCCCTGTACTACTCCGAAATTGAGCAACTTTGCGCTCTGTTTAACTTTTGGTCGAATATTATCCTCACAAATTGGAGAAAGTCTTGTTTTTGCCCTTGACCCTAATGGAGCTTCAACCTAAGGGTAATTTTAAACCATAGTCAAAATTTGGACCTTTTTCCAAAGAATTTGGACACGTGGATTTTCCCTATTTTATGATGGAGCTCCTTTCATGACGGGCAAATACGAGACGATTTGCTAACGGTAAGGACATGGATGGTCCAAAAATATAGCGGAGTACAAAATTAAGAAAATTCATGTAGTACAAGGGTAAATTTTGATCTTTTCCCTTTTTCTTTTATGGTATCAAAGGCTCTGCGATATTGGTAAGACTTAAGTAACTTCTTCTTATTCGACTTACCAAATTTTCTTTCTTTTGCGCTAGTTTGCTGGTGACACCAAACTTTTTTCTGGTGATCGACGGTGCTGTGCCTTTTTCCTGTTGACCGAATCGGCAAACACTATGCCTCTTCCTACTGATTGCTCAGTTGGCAGTATCTCTTCGACTTCTTCTGTTCACTATTCTAGTCATCGATCCAGCAGCAACTTTTCAGTAAAACTCTAGCAATCAGAATTTTTTTGGCAAAATCACATAAAAGAAGTTGTCTTGAAAGACCTATAATCTCTTGGAATTCAGGTTGACCTAACCAAAAATAGGGCACAATCGAAGAAAAAGATCTCTGTATGCAATACTTATTAGTTAGGACTACATTTTAGCCACGTTATTACATTTACTTTAGGTCTTATATTGTCTAGGAGTCTTTTAGTTTTATATGGGATTTATATGCCAGTAAAATATAGAGACTATTATCATTGTTATAATTATTATATGGGTTTAAGATAGCTTAAATGGAGCGGCATGATGAGCGAGGATTCATATAACTGACCTGAACTTACTTGGGATTGAGGCGTTGTTGTTGTTTGATAAGGAATAGACCATGGGCCTAAATCAACCCATAAGCTAGCTCATGAGGTGAGGACTGTCGAGATCCTATAAGGAGACACAATTGTTTCCTCCACTAATGTGGAACGCTTAACACTCGACATCTGGAATGTGGACAATATAACATGGGGCGCAACACTAGGTAAACCAAGAATAGGAATGAGCTTGGCTCTTATACCGTGATAGAAAATACATCATGGCTCTAACTCAACCCCAAAAGCTGGATCATGAGGTGAGAACCCAAGACCCATATAAGGAGATAACATTTCTTTCCTCCACCAATATGGGGCACTTAACATATTGGAATTCTCTGGCGAGATTCCAGAGACCAAGTACTTTTGAACAAGTTTCTGGGGGTCAAAACTTTTCCTTCTAATAATCAGAAGTTTCTGCAGATTTCCAGCAAGTTTCCTGTCAACTATTTAATTTTCTTAGCATCCAAACAAACAAATTCAAATTGGCTTCCATACCCAAAAATTTGAGGAAGCGTGTTAAAATGTTAGAGTTAGTGTTTTATGTGTTGAATTAGTCCTTCATTGGTTAATATAAGACGTGAACCTATAAATAGGTATGTGTTGTATTCAATAGCGATGCCAGGAATTTTCTCAAGGGTGTTCAAACTTGAAAGAAAGTAAAATTCCCGACAAAGGCTGCTCAATATATGTTATATACCTCTAAAACCTAATATTTTACCTATATATGCAATGTAATTTTCCGACGACCTTACCGGGGTATAGCTTCGCCCCTGGTTGTATTCCATTATAACTATCCATTTAATTCGCTTTCCTTCTTTTATTATGAAGCTTCTGCTTATGCTTGTCATGATTCTCTTTAGGAAGCAAAAGCATGTTAAGCTTACCTGCAAACACTGAATTAGAGTTGCATTAATTCCTGCAAGCATCTGATGCCCAAACTCTGTATCATCCTTCCATGCAAGTTCGTTCCCTGTGCATGAATAATCCAGACATGAAACAAAACTTGTCTTGGAAAGAAAGATTCAATAACCTTCTATTCAAAAAACCAGCATCACCTGCAAATAACTGAGGCATTGGAAATTTTGCTGTGTAATCTTTGATTCTACGTTCAGTCTGCTTGAAAATCTCTTTTGGTAGATGAGTTTCCAGTTTCCTTATCATCCATTCTTCCACCCCTCTGCTTTTCTTTCCCGGAAATAGCCCTTTGATCTCATTGAATGACTTGAATTGGTTGCTTTCTTCTCTTAACATCGAACCCTCCTGAGAAACGACATAGTGCAAAGCGGCCTGGATAACTTTCTTCGCAAACTCTGATAGTTTCTCGGGGCTAAATCTTTCATCTGGAGGGATACAGTTGTCTGTCTTGAACATCCCCTTCTCATTTTCTGTTAGAAGAGTAACAGTTTAGGAAGAGGAATATCATTGTCCGTGTTATTCTGTGACTAGAAAGTTATACTAGAAGGGAGAGAGATTTCTAGCCTGAATGAATATGTGGTTCACCAGTTTTTCCTCTCCTTGGATACGGATAAGAAACTGAACCTCCTAAAACTGGTCTTTCCCCTTGGTGAGGATCACCGAGATCATTATAGAAATCGTAGTCATAAACCCGATGCCATTCTCTAATTCTCCCTGCAGTTCCATCTCCTCTCAAGGTATCAAGTTCTTGTTTCCTTAGTTGCAGCAGACTATTTGGTGTTTGGCTTGGAAGATAACACTAAGCATCATAAGATGATTAAAGGTACTGCATATCTTTTTGTTGAAAGATACTAATACATTTTAGGAGAAATGTTTTATACTCACAGTGTTTGAGAAAAAAATCCTTGCTTTTTGAGTTAAATGATTGGGATAAATCCAAGAATTGCATTCGAAATGAACCATTTGTCTGAATGTAACTTGGAGAGACATTGATTGAAGAAAAAACTTGTGTTTGTGTTGGTTCCAGATGACAAAAGCTCCTGGAAGTCCAAAATCTCGGTCAACCTCGAATGTCAATTCATACTGAAAACCTCTGTTACCGTTAGGCTTCTTGTGGATACGTTTCCCATGATTCAGGTACGCTTCTTGACTCAGCTTCCCTTCCCCCGTACCTATCAAAAGGGAAGAAGGAAAAGAAGCAAATCTATTGTAAATTATGAAAGAAAAACTAGTAATCATAGTGTCTATATATCAAGTTGGCTTACTTGGGTCAATTTTAGAGAGACTGTATAGTTGAATACGGATAGCTTTTCCAAGGCTTGATTTTGCAGGGCAATGTTGAATGATGATTTCTCCTTTAATAGACTCTGCATGTTTCTTGCTTTCAGCCAGTTGAGCCTTCACACTTCCTTGAAAAACATTCAGACAATCAATTATCCTTGAATGTTCCATCGTTTTCTTTAATTGATATTTGGTGTCAAAATGTTGCCGTTGTAGTATCAGAATTTTCTAATATTTCCTCTTTCTAAATGATATATGAGAGAACAAGATCTTACTAGGCGAAGAAAGTTTGTCATAGCTTGAGATTTTAGCATTGCATCAGATTCATTGCCTTGCTTTGAGGTTTCCTTTCAGGTGCTCAAGCAGACTAGTATATACTTTAGCAGTAAAGCTTCTTGTCTAATGTAAAGGCTTATATACACGAGCACTTAGTATGACAGATTTTGAAAAAGCATGGGATGATATAGAATGTGCACAATAGAATAAACTAAACTTATTTCATTTGAAGTATTGAAAGGTATATATTTAGTTCCAAGTCGAAGTTTCACCATTTTATCACAAAATACAAGAAGTGGTAAAATCAAGTTTTACTGCTAACTTTGAATAGGTAACAAGCCTGTTTTCGGAAGAAAGAATGATACCGAGCTCAAGCCAGAAGGATCAAGAATGCTTATTTGGATCACAAAAGTTCACCAATACTACAATCATTTTGTACCACTAAGTGGATATTAAAATAACCTCATACGACAAGGGGTTGCTCAGATGGTCAATACCCCCACCAACAACCTCAAGGTTGTGGGTTCGAGTCACCAACGTAGCAATAGTTCCAACAAAAGAGATCAAAGGAGAGGAAAATCAAAAAATCTATATATATAAAAAAAATAAGATGTCACTCCCCAAACTTGGGGAGGCGTGGCCGGCACCCGGTGCCATACTCGTCCCGAGCATACCACTCTGTAACTGTGAACTTTGGAGGGGTAGCCTTCAACTTAGGCCGACGAAGCCCACCTACAAGCTTACAATACCAATCAAGGCCAACGGGGCCATATTCTAAGGAGGAAACTACACTAATTACCCACTAAACCCAAAATAATAACCCGGTTTTACCCATTTTAATAATAATTACTATACTTACCTATCCCAACTAAAATTATTACCCGTCCACTCACCTTACCAACCTTTCTCCTCCTTAAAGTTTCCCTTTCCTCTTTCCCTTCTTCTTGTTTCTTCTTCCAGCAACAAAAATACTATCTCCGTCTTACATATCTCATATTTTCTCGTAGTGTTTGTGTTTGTTCGAGTCACTGTCCAGTTTTTTTTTTTGTGATTTTAATGAGTGAGATTTGATATGGTTTATTGATAAGCTAAATAACTATTCTGTACGTGCAATGTTACAAATAACTATTTCTAATATCCTTTGAGAAGTTCATAGTGATTTATTGTAAGAAAAATTAGATCAACCATTGAAAGACCTTGAAACTTGAAAATCATAAATTGCATTTGTCGAGTTTGTAATTGTTTGATTAGATTTTGACTGTCGTGAGATTGATTGGCAACTGTAACTAAATGTTGAGTCAGTTTGGTCGAGACTGGAGCTGATTTGAGGTGATTGAGATCGAAATTTTCAGTTGAAAATCGAAGAAGAACACAACTACAGTAATAATCGAAGAAGAACACTTTACCTAACAGTATACCGCTACAGTATACTAATATACTGTAGGAGTATATAGTTATACTACAACAGTATACCATTATAGTATACAAATATATTGTTATGTTATACTGTAATAATATGCAAGATATTGTAACAATATGTTGTAATAGTATACAATATACTATAATAGTATACTTATTACCCGTAAATTCACTTGCCTTTTCTCTTTTAATTTGTTTTAAGCTTTTACCTAGCGTGAGCGGCAAATTGAAAATGCAAAAAAAAAAATATATATTATAGTATGCTATATAATGTAACGGTATACTCTTACAACTAGATCCTTTTAGATTTTTATAAAAATTTTATTGACAAATGATATTATTTCAGTTTAATAATTGAATTAAACTATTTTTAACTCTCTGCGTACAATTGTATACCCTGTTGGTATAACTATATACTATACTGGTATCAAATGTTAGTTAATATTTTTTTGATCATATTAGCTACATTGAATTGGTACACAATATGATTTTTATTTAGTAATAATATATAAAAAAGAATAGAAAAAATAGTAAATGAAATTAGATTATGAAGAGAAAAAGAATATAAAAAAAAAAAGAAGTTAAATGAAATTAGAATAGGAAAAAAGAAAAAATAAGAAGAAAACGAGAAAAAAGAAAAGGAGAAAAGAAAAGAAAAGAAGCATAGAAATAAAAAAGAATTGGAGAATAAAGAGAAAATTCCCCACAAAAGCTAATATGAGTAGGAAATGTAATTAGTTTATGGGTAGAAAAATAAATGGGTAGACTAGGGTAAATAGCTTTGTTTTTGTGGGTAACTGTGTCAAAACCCCTATTCTAAATCATCTAAAAATGACGTCTCTTTCATATGAGGGGTAAACATACTCAAAAAGCTCATATATAAAATTGTGCGGGCCAACGAGGCTAGGACTGTGCATGTTCGGAACAGATCGGATTTAGCACATTTCGGATTTTGGATTCTACAAAATGTAATCCAAATCCGGTCTGAATTAATATCGGATCGGATTTTAAAGTTTGGATCGGATCGGATTTTTGAATTTCGGATTGGATTATTATGCCTCAAAGTTGCAAACTCATATGTATATTTTCTTTGTAAAAGAGGCAATACAGTAAGAAAAATTCATGTTTCTGCAATTATGAGAGTATTATGGTGTCAATATAGCTAAATCCAACAATTGTAAAGGTAATAACATGGAGGAAGATGTAAAGAAAGTAGTGACTATCCGAAATTAAAGTTTAAAATTTATACATGCCCTAATAATTTCGGATTTCGGATCGGATCGGATTACAATTATACCAATCTGAATCCGATCCGAATATCCGAAATTTTAATACACAAAATCTTAAATCCGTTCCAAATATTCGAAATTCGAAATCCAAAATCCGAAGTTGAGTGGATCGGTTCGGATTTCGGATATCCAATCCAAATGAACAGTCCTAAACGAGGCCGCCATGAACATCTACTGATATACAAATATACAGGACTTATCTACAAGCCTTTAGAGATAACAGAATTGTACCATGGTCAGGACAGGGTCTCGACCTACACATCGAACCTGTATACATAAAATGGATAACAAAGTCTAGACCTGGTAACTCCGGGGGAGTGGAGCTTACCAATCAGACTGATGTTTGGCTCTGTCTACTGGTAAAGTCTATTCGGCTATTTATCAGGACCTGCAAGGCATGAAATGCAGCATTTCCGGCAAAATGGATGTCCGTACGAAATAACATACCGAGTATATAAGGTAGTAGAATAAGTAAAAGCTGAAACTGAATTGATAACATAATAACTGAAAAAAGCTATGAGTCAAAGATGATTTGAAGATATGTTTACCTGCTGATAGTGACTCAACTCTCTCAATATAATAAGTAAAATAGCTGTCCGGTCCTATAAGACTCGGTACGTGTAACTGCTCTACCATAGTAGGCTCGCACATAGGTGCTCACTCATAGGCGCTCGGCCAAAGTAGGCTCGGTATATAACTTACCATCTAATCAAAGGTTGCCCAATAGGGGCTTGCCACCGATTATAGCTCGGTGGTGGTGAAAATATTGTAATATTTTGTGTGTGTATATATGTATATATGTATATACAGTCAAACCTCTCTATAACAGCCTCATTTGTTCCGATATTTTTTGGCCGCTACAGTGAGGTGCTGTTATAAAAGACATATATTATAACATCACATAAAAATTGGTTCCGAAAAAACTTGGCTTTTATAGTGAATGGTTATTATATAGAGATGTTGATATAGAGAGGCCTGACTGTATATATCCTCTGCTCTCTTGAATGAAAGAAGACAGTACTTAACTGAATATAATGTCCTGAAAAGGGAGAACTGTAACTTATGAGACTAGGATAATGTACATATATGTCTCGTTATCAAACGAAGGTAGTTACGGGATTATGCCAAAATGAAGCCCTCTTGGTACTTATTCATGATCTTAAATATTTATAACCTCCACGGTAACATGATTAACTTACTTTATGTAGTTTTAAAGGTTATCTCATTACTTAGCTTACATCAGTTGACTTACGGCATACTTTTACGTACGAAAACATGGGGTGTAACATAAGTAGCCTCAAATTTTAAACAAAAAAAATAACCTCATGCATTTAGAATAATTCAAGTCTATTTTAAAGTGAAAAAGAATTTTATTTACTCTTTATAAGAAATAATTATCTCCAAAAGATATTTTTTTTAATTATCAAAGTTGTCATCAAGTTCATCTTCATGTATTGCATGTTTCTTATAAAATTCAGTTATTTAACTCAATAACTTCTGTCACATTCCATAAAATAAAGTATAAAATCTATTCTCTTTATTGATTTACAATATATAAATAATACATAAAATAAATAATTTTAGGGCCTTCAACTTGAGGGGCTAAAGCAATTGCTTTAGTGGCCTCCCCATTGAGCTGGCACTGCTCCTTCTCCATCTTTTCCTTCGTCCTCTTTCTTCTTCTTCTAATAAATTATGAGAACGCAAGTAAATTTGAAAAATAATGAAATATATTGCAGTAAAAAAATTGAAGACTCTTTGCTTATTTGTAGTTGGAATAGAGTGGTGATATCGCATTGATCTTATATTGTATATCCTCAGTGATATAGATTGATTTGGTTGGAGAAAATTGAAGAACACCATGTTGGATTTTATTGAGCTTGAAAAAAAATTACTGAAGAAGACAAAGTTAGTCTATTATTTATGAAGATTTTACGATAAATCTAACAATTGAAAATTATTGGGATTGATATTAGAAGGTTATTATCAACATTGGAGTCATTTTGGAGTTGATGTGGACCAATTTTGAAGCAAAAATGTGTCAATTAAATATTTACACAATAAGTTAGGGTGATATGTCAGAATTTTTCAACCAATTCTAATGGGTTTTCAGGATTTATGGTCAAAACTTCTGGCAACCCATCAGCATCTGACCAAAAATCTTGGTTGATCTGTTAGATTTTTCGCCAAAGATCCTGGCGGTTTATGCATCGAGGTAAGTTTTTGTAACGACCCGACCGGTCATTTTGAGCATTTGCACTTCGTTCGGCAGTTTTCGGGCATGAGTAGCTCCGTATGGTGTATTATGACTTATGTGAATCATCGATTTTGGTTTTCAGGTTATTCAGAATTGATTTGGAACAATGATTCTCAGCTTGAAGCTTTAAATTTGAAAAGTTTGACCAAGTTTTGACTTTTTAGAATTTGACCTATTGAATTTCTGATGGTTCCGTTAGCTCCGTTGCATGATTTTGGACTTAGGAGCGCGTCCGGATTTTGAGTTGGAGGTCCGTAATGGAATTTCGCTTGAAATGG